GTAACAAATCAAATCAAATCAAATCGGGGTCGTTTAAAATCGGGAAAAACACCCTGCAAAGTCATGCTATTGCTACTATTGGGCGGGGGCCGGGGCCACGACCCACGGGCACGCGGCACCGCTCCTGCACGCGGCCAAACCTGCGGCGCGCCTGTGCGTGCTTTCGAAAGGCTCCAGGGCCCAGGGCCGGGCTCGTCTCCCGGGTGTGTGCTGTGCTCTTTCATTCGGGAGCAGTCTTTCCAGCCTAGCCCATTGGATTAGGGTTAGGATTGGTACAGCGTCCTGGGGCCGCCCGCGGATTACAACAAAGCGAAACAAAGCAAAGAGGTCCATACGTACTGTACATGCTTCCTGGGTGTTCGCTGTGCGGTGTCACTGCTCTGATTTGAGGGTTTGGTTGGAGGTGACGCCAGCAGGGGCTGAGCCGCGATCGCGATGCCTTACCCTGCTGCTTCTGGCGCTGCCTGATGCTTGCTTGCTTGCTCGCTCATCCATTAGTTGCGCTGTGCGAGGGGGTCTATGCATACTGCTGGCATCTGCCGACCAAGAGCTGCCACGGAACGCTCCAGACGGTGTCCTCTAGGGTGCAAATCTTACAGTGGGCCTGTGCGCGGCCCATAAGGGGGGCCACTGGCAGAGACCACAGAGCCAATGAGGAAGCCAAAAGACGCCGGCAGCAATGCGAGCGGTCAACCAAAAGCAAGCGAGCAAGGCTGCCTGGCTGCCGCCAGCCGCCTTCTGGAAGCTGGCCGGAAGCCAGGCGTGCACCCGGAGCTGGCTGCATGCCGGAGCTCATTGCACGTGGCCCCCAGTGACTTTTTTGTCATGCGCCTGTGCGTGTGTAGTGTTTTGCGCCACTGTCACCGGGCGCCCGCCCGCTTCATAGCAACTCCTTTGATCCTTGATCCTTGTTGCTGCTAACTGGTTGGCGAGAGCGGCGCGAGGAGTCTAGCTGGTCTAAGCACAATGACAAGAAGATAGTAAAAAGCTATTGTTTTGGCCAGCTTTTGCCCTAAAGGAGCCTGGCTTGGATGCGCTGAGGGGCAGGCTGGCGCCATGGTGCGGCGCGCTGGCTGGCGGCCCTTCAACACGCAGGGGGCGCCAACGCCCACCGATGCTGAACGCTTCGCTGGCGGTTCAACGCGATAGGGCGGCCTCTTTTCATCAAGTGATGATTATCAAGGGGAGATGGAAAGAGTCCGGAGCTGGACCTTTGTGGGGTAAACCAGGGCCCAGGGGGATGCGTGAAACCCGCGCCCCCACGTACGACCCCCCTTCTCGCCTCTGATCTGGTTGCTGCGCCACTGCCCCGAGGCTAGGCTGGGCTCCTTGCAATTCTCCGCGGCTGCCTCTATCCGGCCACTTCCACAAGCGCTTGGGTCACAAGGGTGCCTTGCTGTTTGTCCTTGGCCCGTCCATTGTCCTACTTGTCCCCTAATTCACATCACCATGGTTTCGGCGGACTCTGCTTTTGTTATGTGCCCCTTCTTGTTACCCTGCTGCCCCGCGCGCGCCCATACAGCGCTGCGCTTGCAGTGCCAGGCCGGTGTGGGTTGCGCAATTGCGACCCTGAGGACGCGCCACGCCTGCTCGATGGGGACCCCAGTGACGAGGCCAGGGCAGCCATGCCCGCCGTTGGCCGGCGCAGCCCTGCGATCAGCGACACGCGTGAGGCATCGCAATGCTTGCTGTTAGCCCGCTTATCATATCAGTCATCAGTGGTGTGTGTAAATTGTGTGCTGCTTTCACCATACAGTATCCAACAACATCTCCTTTCGTTGCTTTCATGCTTGCTCTGCTCGCATGCACGCCGCACCCGCGACCCCTGCTGCTGCCACCTGTGGCGCAGGGGGGGGGAACAGATTCCTGGGGTCAATGTAAACCATGCCCTCGCTACCGTGGGACGCCTGTGCAGGACGGGGGAGTGGTCCATGGGCAAGTGATGCCGCTGCTGTAGGCCAAACCTGCGGCATCGTTGCGCCTTGGGGAGGCCCTTGCTTAGGCACATGGCTTAGCAGAATTCTCTTCAATTTCTCTCTCTCCTCCACAACCCCCCTCCAAACACACACGCACGCACACACGCACGCACGCACGCACACACACACACACACACACACACACACACACACACACACACACACACGTGCACGCACGCACGCAGGCACACAGGGCGGTACCTGCGCCAGGCGCGCTTGAGCTGCGTCACGCGTTTGCGCACACCCCGTTATGTGGCGAGCGAGTGAATGGCTCCAGACAGGACTGCATGAGAGGCACATCGAGCGATCTCAACTGAGCGACCAACCGCAGTACTGTAGCAGCAGTCAACCACATGACATGAGACCAGGAGCTCACCGATCCGCATACAGCAATTACATTGGCATGTAAAGTAATATCTCCCATCATGAGTGTTGATCCCCACCTGAATGCAGGCGGTACCACTCTCACACGGTTCTTGCAGCCACCAAAGTGATGAGGCAGGCCACCACGCATGCATGGCCGCCCTGGTGGCAATAACTCAGCACCTCAGCCCGCACCTGCTGCCAACCTAAGTCTAGAAATCCGGGAGCGTTGCAAGGCGATACCCCGAGCAAATGGGCCAGGGTACACAGGGGGCTGCAGAGGCGCAGTGGCGAGCCAAAAGCGACAGCTTGGTGGGGTCAAGGGCGCACACCTGGGCCGCCGTCACCATCGCGCCGTGATCAGTTGGATGCCAGTTTGTGAGAGTGGAATGACCTGAAGCGAAAGCAGAATGGATCAAATTAAACCTGCAAAAAAGTGACAGCCCCGGCAGGGGAGGCGCACCCAAGAAGCCCCCGTCAATCCTTGTAGGAGTTCTGTCGGCCCCAGCTAACAACCAAGTCAAGGGCATTCAATGGAAATTGGCCGCACGGCCGCACGGAAAGCCGACCGCCGCAGCCGCTATGTATCCCCTGACGCGGCCCGCGGCCGGCCCGTGACAGTGTGAGCCCCAGGCGGCGGCGATGCGCCTCAGGCGCCATCCACGAGGCACCGCAGCGCGGGGTTGGCCGCCAGCGCCCGGTGCACCTCGTCGTGCCCCGCCCGCAGCGACAGCCGCGCGCCGCCGCCGCCACCGCCGCCGCCGGCCGCCGCGGGCGTCCCGCCCGCATCGCCAAACCCCCGCGGCCCCTTGCGGCGCCGGCCGCCGGTGCCGGGCGTCCCGCCGCCGGCTGCGGGCGGCGCGGCGGCCGCGGCGGG